GTTGTAGGAGGGGGCTGCTGTGTCCTCAGGTTGTAGGAGGGGGCTGCGGTGTCCCTACGTTATAGGAGGGGGCTGCAGTGTCCCCAGGTTGTAGGAGTGGGCGCCGTGTCCCCAGGTTGTAGGAGTGGGCTGCCGTGTCCCCACGTTGTAGGAGGGGGCTGCTGTGTCCTCAGGTTGTAGGAGGGGGCTGCTGTGTCCCCAGGTTGTAGGAGTGGGCTGCGGTGTCCCCAGGTTGTAGGAGGGGGCTGCTGTGTCCCCACGTTGTAGGAGGGGGCTGCCGTGTCCCCACATTGTAGGAGGGGGCTGCCTGCTCTAACAGACAGACGTGAGGGTCGAGCCCCAGAAGCTGTGCTTCTCTCCCCGTCCCAGAACTGTGTGCCGGGGCGTGAAGGTCTCGGCTCCACACGGGCACCTAGGCCCAGGCTCTGCAGCCCTCACACGTGGCCCCCGAGTTGCAGCAGCGTGGGGACAGGGAGCAGAGGGCAGATCCATGGGCCCAGACTGGGAGCAGCACGCGTCTCCCACACCATGAGCCACTGGTTGGAACCCAGGGGCAGGGAGACCTGAATCTGGCTGTGATCTGGCTAGCTGACCTAACCCAGATCTGGGCCAGACCGGTTGTCCATAAAGATGGTGTAAAACCGAAAGTGCCCGCCCGTCAGTCCAGCCACGCCCTTCCTTCCCACGGAGAAGCTGGAGGAGACCTGGGTGGGGGAGGAAACGCTCACAGTGCCTCCTCAGGTGGGTGGCTCGGGAGTGGCTCCTGCGTCCCTGACTCTGTTCCGCGCTGGAGTTCCTGCTTCCCGGGAGCCTTCCTGGAGGCTCACCAGGGCTAGAGGCACAGGACCAGCGACTCAGGGTGCTAATGCACATTCCTGAAGCTGTGGCTGCGGCTGCCTTTTAGGACACCTGCCTCTGGAAGGGACACTTCCGGCCCCAGGTTTCCAAAGGTGAGGGACTCTGCTCCTCTCACCAGGGCTGCCCGACTGTAAGCGGCTGGAAAGCAGGCACCAGCCTCGCGCTGCCCTCGGAGCAGTGCCCGCTGCCGCGTGAACCCCCAGAGCCCAGTTAATATTTAACGGTGGAGATGGCGCTCTCCCAGGCGACCCTGGCCTCCATTAGCCGCTCTGCCGCTCTGCTCCTGCGTGGATGTGTCAAGTCACATCCATCTGCGCCCACATTGCTCCGCGGGTCTCAGGGGCTGAGAAATCGGTCAGTCGTCAAACGTTGCCACGGCTCGTTCTCACACAATTTGCCCCATGATTACACCCAATGATGCAAATAGTCCGACTCAGATGCGGTTAATCTCTGATTCAGTCCAGGGCTCCTGTTCCTTCCAAGTTTATGTGTTGGGCTATTTTATTAAAACACAACTTTAAGAGAAGGGGCTCAATAAAATGAGTTCAAAAAAGAAGATAACAATATTTTTTAACTTTCAAGGGGTTATCCCAAAAATATTTCTAAACACTTTGCATGGACTTACAAGTTCATGAAGACAGTGATTTGGGAAAAGGCAACATAGGGGAAGAGCCAGACCTGAATCGTGAGGAAATAGTCAAGACTAGAAGGTCTTCAGATGCAGCAGGAACTGGCCCTGGGAGATTGCAAAAGGCGAATTCTGCTTTCTTTCTGAGGGACCTTTTAAGGCTCTGAGGATGCTCTGTTGCATGTGTGTAGCGTCAGAGAAGACAGATATGCTTTTCTTCCTTTCTTGACAGAATTCCCCCAAAGACACTGTGAAGTTTATTTCAACCTAACTTTGCAATCGACAGGACCTTGGTGTTGGGCACCAGCCAAGCTCGGCGTGGCCGGCCGTCCTGCCTGCAGCAGACGGGTGTGAAGTCCCAACGACACAGCATCCTCAGCCCCACCTCTGCCCTGTCCTGGCTGCCCAGCCGAGCTACTCCTGCCAAGTCTCCTCTGCGATGCTCCTGGCTGCCAAGGTCCCACAGTACACAGGCAACCAGGGATGGCGCGGCAGCCTGGGCACAGGAGGCTGTGCAGATCACGGCTCACCGTTGCTCCTGATGCCAGAAGACTACAAGAAAACAGCTCATATCCGAAAAAGAGGAGGAAAGAGCCATGGAGTGGCATCTGCGCACAGCCCCCTCGGAGCCGCCCCTGAGTCAGACACTCCCCACCCCCC